CCGGCATCGGTATGCCGGGTGGGAGATGTATCTCTCGTGAGAGATATATCTCCCGCGAGAGATGCCTATAATTTCCCATATAAATATAGCAAATTAATACCTTCAACAATTCCATAAATTCCAAAATAAATACATCCACTTTTATTAAATATAATAATATTAAAAATTGGCGGCGAAGTGTTATGCTAGTTAATATTAGTGTAACCGATTTTCGCCGTCTACACCATTTTCACCGTTATTTTACATTAAATACAAATATGATAAACTTTTTTCACTTTACACATAAATCCGTTCACTCCGGACGATAAATTATATACGTAATAAATTTACATTAAAGCATTAGCTAGCTTTTATAATAAAAAAAGAAACATCTGATCTCTAATCATACAATGCAAACAATCAAGTGTGTTGTTGTCGGTGACGGCATAGCCGGTGCCTCCGGATTGAACATCAAAGTATGTAAGAAATATTCCTATATGCTAATTTTTCATAATTGATTATTAATGATTCATTGTTGAGAATATTATTTTTTATAGACAGAACTTTTAATAAGTTATACTACTAACAAATTTCCTACAGAGCATGTTCCTACAGTAAGTTTTTTAAATGGCTACCGTATTAAAAAAATTATTTGATATCATCTCATCGAATATGTGTTCATATAGGTTTTTGACAATTATGCAGTTACTGTCATGATTGGAGATGAACCATATACTTTAGGCCTATTTGATACATGTGGTGAATATATTTGCAAATGTTCAAATATTACTGCTCTTAAGTCGATAATATATTTTATGGACTATATTATATATTGTATGATCGCTTTTGTGGTAATATATTGATAGGTCAGGAAGATTACGATCGCCTCCGTCCTTTGTCTTATCCTCAAACAGACGTATTCTTGATCTGCTTTTCTGTAGCCTCACCAGCTTCTTTTGGAAATGCTAAAGAAAAATGGGTCCTCGAGGTTCATCATCATTGTCCAGATATTCCATTCCTGATTGTCGGTACTCAAATAGAATTGCGGGAAGATCCATTAGTGATTGAAAAATTAGCACGGCAAAAGATTAGACCCATAACTTCGGAGGAAGGTAAAAGACTCGCTCAAGAATTAGGAGCAGTTAAATATGTTGAGTGTTCAACAGTTACGCAAAAAGGCCTGAAAAATGTTTTTGATGAAGCAATAGTCGCTGCATTAGAACCACCGGTTATAAAGCGCACTAGCAATAGAAGGCTGAACTTGAATATAATGCCTTTAATAAATAAAATGAAGTATGATAAAAAGTTGGCCTTAGACATAGCGCCTTTAATAAATCGAATGAAGTATGTAAATATTATATAGACATGATTATTTACAGATGAATAATAAATGTAATTGACTGATAATTATATATTTTATCTATAGCTCTCTGATAAGTGGAAATCAAAGAGGCCTGAATAAAGAAATCAGTTATTTTATCAAGAAATCACAACTTGAATGGATTAATTTTGACAAATTAAAAAACATTGAAATTATTGGTAAAGGTGGTTCCAGTACTGTATATTCAGCAATTTACAAGAACCGAACCGTTGCACTTAAAGAATTTTTTGGTACTCAGGATGGGTCAACACAATTTTTGGAAGAGGTATTTATTTAGCACATGTCACGTTGCATAATCAGCAAATATCAAACTTAACTTGTAATTATTATAATACTGTAGGTCAATGCTAATGTCAAAATTAATGTAGAGGTATATGGAATAACTCGTAGCACACACACAGAACAATATATGATGGTTTGCCGATTTGCGGATAAAGGAAATCTTAAATACTATTTGTCTAATAATTTTGCTGTTCTAATTTGGAAACAAAAATTAGATATTCTACGTTCTATTATTTCAGATTTAGCAAGCGTTCATAATGAGGGATATATTCATAGTGATCTTCATAGTGGTAATGTACTTCTATTCAGTAATGAAGGAGAAATAGAAGCTCATATTTGTGATTTAGGATTATCTAAGATAACTGATCGTTCAACTACATGCGGAGAAATTTGTGGCGTATTACCATACATGGCACCTGAAACATTATCATCTGGTCGGTATAAAAAAGAGTCAGATATATACAGTTTTGGTGTAATTATGTCTGAAATGTCAACTGGTAGACCACCATTTGATGATGAATCACATGACATTGCGCTCTTGTCAAGAGTCATAAATGGATTAAGACCAAAATTTGCACCAGAAACACCAGATTGTTATATTCAATTGTCAAATCGATGCATGGATATTAATCCAACAAAGAGACCAACTGTTAATGAAATTTCCGAAGAAATAACTTCTTGGTGGACATATCTTCATGAAAATCAAAGAATTTTAAACAAAGAACTTGAAATCAGAAATGAATTCTTAGCAGCGGATAAGATCATTCCCACTTTATCATTTACATCACAAAGTCATCCAAACGCTATATATACAAGTAGGACTATTAATATACAAAATATTGTAAATACTTATACATCTGCACGTAAGTTTTAATGGTATTTGCTAATGTCTTCATTGCAATGTTTTATAAATAATATAATTTTAACAATTAAATCTATTTAAAGATTGGCAAGGTTCTTCTCCAATTAACATCGAGATTCCGGTAGATCTTTAGATCCCCAAAATTTATTAGTGATTAATAAAATGAAGGGTTGAAATCTAGCTCATGCGCTCCAGAGTGCGCAAGAAATCAGGAAAATTTACTCACGATATCACTCACCACATATATTATCCTTTACACTTTGTATTATACTAGCAAGAGACTCGTATTTCCGGAACTGAATGATTGATAGATAGTAATATTAGATCTAACCAATTAAAATTTACATTATAAAAACGAACACCATTATTGAACACCATTAAATTTTACTGCCCATTACTGAAGTAATTACTTTATTGTTAAAACAGGCTCCCATTATTGACATTTTAAATTCACATACCGTTGAAATCACAGATCACTCACTGTTGTAGTTATTACTTACTAAGGATTGGAACCGTTATTCGTTTAACCGCATATAATCGTTTATTTATTTTATACGGTTAAACGAGTAAGAGATTTTATAAACGATTAAAAACCGTTTAATTATTCGCTTAACCGTTTTAAAAAGTTTATACGATTAATCGTTTATTAATCGTTTAATGCTTCACGTGAAGACAAAAAAAAATAATAATGACGAAGAATTTGTAATTCTATATAGGCCAACACTCTAAAAACTAATAAGTACTTTTTTATGGTCCAAAACCCGCGCTTTTTTGGTTTTCTTTGGTGAATTGAAAATTCCTCAAATACTAAACTATTAATAAATTAAAACTACAAGACCTCTATGAATAATATTACTATCATGTAAAGTGTTATTTCTTGGCAATATGTAGTAGCTTGGTTGTCCACTGTAAAGAATTAGTATCGTAGTCGAAATTTGTTCTACTGCGAAAGTGGTGTCCAAGGTTTGTAATGCGTGGCATAACAATCGAAGAAAGCTTAAGTGGAGAATGTTAATTAGTTGAGTGTCAAAAAGAAAAAAAAAGTAGGTGAGAAATACTTATCGCTTTTGGTTTCACGTAAGGGTTCAAATTTACGAGCAGTAATTGATCGGAATTACAAGAGTAAATCGAAAGGTGAATAATGTTAAATTTATAATGCGATGTATAATAGATTAGCAATCAATAAGAGTCAAAAATAGTTTGTGATTAATGATGCTAAACATATATAATAAAGAAAAATATTTAGTCCCTTCCTCCCTTTCGCTTTAAATAAATACTGGTAAAACTAATAAACCTTACCTTACGCCCAGGTGTCCAATAGCGATTTGTCATAACCTACATTTATGGTCATTGAGGGCTGTGATAATTAGGATTTGGATTTCATTCTCTTTTGAGCGTTGTCTAATTTATCAAAAGGAATTTTTTCAATCATATCTTCATGTTTTGTGGCTTTGAGTCAAAATTCTTTAATGGAATCATCCATGTTCTTTATTTCCACTTATTTATCCACATATCTAGTTGATATAATAATCTTATGTTTTATAGTATTATTGTTATACCGATATCATATCAAGTATACGTACTAATTTTGCCCGTCCTCACAAATAGCGATGAGAATTTCTAATTGTTAATTATGAAATATTCACGTATAAGAATTTTGATTTAAACAAATATAGAGCGGTAACGGTAACATAAGATTCTATCATTGTTACGGGTAGATTACTCCTGTGAAACAATTATCAAGTGAAAAATACATAGAAAATTTTTATACTAGAGTACATAAAAAAAATATTGGAAAATATATTTTAATTTGCTGATTACACACTCTATCGATAATTCAATTATTAATTAATAGTTAAAAATGATTTATTAAATTAACAATTTCATGTTAACAATTAATAATTAATTATTATTATTATTATTATTATTACTGTTTCGAAATGGTTGAACGGAGGTAAAAAAAATTGTTTTCGTGTATACTCATATAACGTGTATACTCGTATCAGAAGCCCCGGACGTTGATAGCAAAAATGGCAAATTTAGCAAAATAGCTTATTATAAATTTATATTTGTAAGTATAAATTTGAATGTAATCATATTTTTCTTCTGCGAGTTCTTCATCTATCATTCAGTGAGTTCTTCGGTCATCTAAAATATGCATATGATTACTCGTTTATGTAAATCAGTTCAAGAACAAAGGTAAAATCACATGTCTAGAGCAAAAGTAGCAAATTTCGCATCTTAGCGCAAGACAATTGTTGCTAGCTATTTTGCTAAAAAATAGCATGCTA